AGCCCCCTGCCCAGCCCCCTCCGACACAGGAGCTCCCCGAAAACAAGAAGGAGGTGAGAGGGGGGGTCCCCCAAAACTCCTCGCACAGCAGGAGGAGCTGCTGACGGATGGGAAGGAGCTATAGGGGAGCATAGGGTGGGTTTGGGGTGCTGGGGGGGGATCTGAGCAGGTTTTGGGGTGCTGGGGGGGTTCTGGGCAGGTTTTGGGGTGGTGGTGGGGATTTTGGGGTGACGTGTCCCCCCCAAACTGCAGGCGCAGCAGGAGAAGGAGTTGGGCAACGCCGCCTACAAGCGGAAGGAGTTCCCCACTGCGCTGGCTCACTACACCCGTGCCGAGGAGCTGGACCCCACCAACATGACTTACGTCACCAACCAAGCAGGCGAGTGACCCCCAAAGTCCCCCCAAAAAAAACCCTGAACCCCCAAAAAAAATCCCCCTGAAACCCCCTTTTTTTCTCTTTCATCTACAGCCGTCTATTTCGAGACGGGCGACTACAATCGCTGCCGAGAGCTGTGTGAAAAAGCCATCGAGGTGGGGCGGGAGAACCGGGAGGACTACAGGCAGATCGCAAAGTGAGTACAGCAGGATTTGGGGGGGGTAAAAAAGGGGGTGCTCCCCTCCAATACCCCTAAACCCTCCCCCATACCTCAAACCCCCTCCCTGCAGGGCATACGCTCGCATCGGGAACTCGTACCTGCGGGAGGAGCGGTACAAAGACGCCATCCACTTCTACAATAAGTCGTTAGCGGAGCATCGCACGCCCGACGTGCTCAAGAAGTGTCAGCAGGTGACTTGAGGGGGGTCAGAAAAAGGGGGTGCAGCTCCCCCAGACCCCCCCCCGAACCCCAAATTTGGTGCCGCAGGCGGAGAAAATCCTGAAGGAGCAGGAGCGGTTGGCGTACATCAACCCCGACCTGGCGCTGGAAGAGAAGAATAAAGGCAACGAGTGTTTCCAGAGAGGTAAAGGGGGGTGACGGGGGGGCGCGGGGGCCCCCCCAAATCCTTGGTGACCCCCCCCGCGGTGGCGGCCCCCCCAGGGGATTACCCGCAGGCCATGAAGCACTACAGCGAGGCCATTCGCCGCAACCCCCACGAAGCGCGGCCC